CTGTAATGGAAAAAACACTTATCCGTTATGACCTGCTCATTATCATTTGGGCCGGAAGTAATAAAAGCTGCATTGATCTCAGCCTCAGGTCAAAACTCTCTCCATACTCAGCAGCTTGAAAGAAACAAAGAAGTGGTTGACCAATCCCAACAGAGCTGGCCAGCTAACCAATCAGAGCAGACTGTATGTGAGAAATAAAGAGCTTTGTGAACATTAAAACATGGTAACATGTCACAGTAATGGCAGAAATACTAATATGAACCTGAAAATGAGCAAAATAGGGCCCTTTTTAAAGGCATTTGGACTCTGAGGAGACATTGCCGTGAATTGGGCCTATTTATAGAAAACAACTTAGTGATTTTGTACATCAGGAACTAAAATGTGATAGACGGATGAATGATAAAGTCATGTCTTTACTGAACTTTATACAATGCACGCAATGTGGTTTCCTGACAAGAAAACGTGTTTTCTTTGATAATAAATATAAAATTCTTTCTCATAAATGTATATGTAGAATATTAACCCTGGTTATTTTATTACAGTATATTTAATCTTAATGTGTGTATTGACTTTGTTTTTTATCTCCCAGACACCAGAAGAGTCCACCGTCTCAAAGAAGAAGAAGAAGAAGACAAAGCAATCGAAGAGTGATGAGAACGACAGCGGAGTGGAGGTGTACTTCAGAGAAGAGGAGGATAAGGAAGAGGAAGAAGTAACCAAATCTGTTTCTGTGAAAGTAAGTGAATACAATGCAGCGCAGTATTCAATCCAGTAATATCATCATCCAGAAGAATGTACTAAATGTCCCTCCTCTGTCTCTCTGCAGGTGGCTCAGAGCTCAGCAGCTCCGTCCAGACTGCAGCTGGCAGCAGGTTTCTCCTGGGACGTGGGACTGAGCTCCCTGAAGCCGGCCTCTGTAGCGCAGGAGGGCGACTCCAGCGAGGGAGAGGACGAAGATGGAAGCAGCAAGGTGAGCTCATCATAAAGAATCTTCTGGTTATTTAAGGTGTTAGAGCCAGTCTTTTGTTTTGTAAAAAGGGCCGAAAAAACGACATATCCCATGGCCCCAGCCTCTTAAGAGACACAGAGATAGGCAACGTGTGAAAGATGCTGTCGAGACACAGTTTTTAGTATGTCGTTTTGTATAGGACTACACAAAGTAAAAAAAGGAATATGATCCAAGTCGTTTATTATTTTATTTATTTGAGTTTTGCAAAGGCCTATTTTCTTTGATTAATGTTTGTGGAAATGTTTTTATTTTGTTGTGATTATACACGAGTGGCACAACATATCATTGGAAGGCAAACAAGTTATCACAACTGTAATGAATACATATAGAGGAAAGAGAAGTCATTAGAACTGTCTGTTTAAGGCTTGACGGAAACAAAGGAAGGCAGCAGCGACAAAAGGAATACAACTTCTCTGTCATCATCATATGTTTGCAGCCTAAATATTATCTCTAGAAGTCTCCTCCAATCTCTGAACCTGAAAATGTTCTACCATCACGACTAATTTTCTTCTTGGCGCACCATTCTCCTCCACCAGACCCAGAAGAAGACTCGCCACGAGCTGGAGCAGGAGAAGAAGGCGGCAGAGAAGGCCCTGGTGCAGCGGGAGACGGAGCTGATGAACCCCAGCCTGCGGCCCGAGGACGCCGCCGCCTTCGAGCGCCTGCTGCTCGCCTCCCCCGACAGCTCCCTGCTGTGGCTGCAGTACATGGCCAACCACCTGCAGGCCACGCAGATCGAGCAGGCCCGCGCCGTGGCCGAGAGGGCCCTCAAAACCATCTCCTTCAGGTGATTGACTTATGGTTAAAGAAGTTTTTAGCTATTTAACCGTGTTATTCAGTTCCATTTATTTTACATGGAGATCATTAAAAGACAGCAGGAATAAGTTTCCATCTGTCAATACAATCTTAAAAAGGTCAATCAGTAGAGAACAGATCTGCTCAGTGTTTCTCCCCTCCAGAACTGAAACGATTTAAAACTCTCAATTGTCCTTCCTGGCAGTCAAGACAGAGGCCAAGATAAAAAACAAACGGTTGCCTCGTAGCGTGCCTAACTTTAATGGATCATAACAAATCGGGTATGGAATAAATTTGCACATGCCCATTGTCAAAATGAGTTTTGAGCCCCTACATAGTCTGTGTTCAATAAGAAGGAGTGCTGAGTCAGCAGTCTGTGGCAAAATTCAGATAACTGCAATAACAAAAAACGCCTGGAACATACATGAACAGAGAAGAGACCAAATGTTAGAGAGAAGGGTACGATGGAAAATATCATCTCCCCACAGTAATGTATAGAAATATTGTGTTTGTCCCACAGCAGGGACATTTAAATTGCAGTAAAGGGACAGATAGGGGCACAAATATTTTATATATAAAAATGTTTATAATCCTTAATAATTAAAACAAGTATTTCTTGAGCTGATAAGATAATATGTGCATATCTGTTGCAATAGGGTGTGCCCAGGAAGGTTTGATAACATATTATTGATTTATATTTGTGTAACTCTTGTCCTGTCTGCAGGGAGGAGCAGGAGAAGCTGAACGTGTGGGTGGCGCTGCTGAACCTGGAGAACCTGTACGGCACCGAGGAGAGTCTGAAGAAAGTGTTTGAGCGGGCGCTGCAGTTCTGCGAGCCCATGCCCGTCTTCCAGCAGCTGGCCGACATCTACGCAAAGTGCGACAAGACCAAGGTACGATCGACAGTGAAGAGTAAAGGATTATGATTACTCAAGAGCTGAGCTTGTGGACATTTTTTATTTCCCCTTTACCTTCCCTTTGCTGTTTTACTAACAGCTTTTGTACCTTTGTAGAAAACTATTTACGCACCCTAACTGTCCAGTGTAACTATGTGGTTCTCAACAAACACATGATAATCCAAAAGATTATTGCATTGCTGCACAGTAAACTACCCAACAGTGTATATAGAGCACTTACAATGAGCACAACCGTAAACATCTACAGCAGTAAAACACAACAGCATTATTAATGCAGAAACATCTTGTAAACATATTTAAACTCTGACAGGGAACACTTTACACAAAATGACTCCTTTTTACTTGAACTACCCTTAGTAAGATGTGGTCATATATTTTTGAATGCACGACTATGGTACCTAAGTAAAGGATCCAAATACTTCTTCTACCACCAGGTACTAGGATCTGCTGACTGTATTTGTTTAGACGAATGGTAAAATACTGTCCTGTAGCCACTAATGTCCACATGTCCCTGTCTCATGTGTTTTTCCAGGAGGCAGAAGGCCTGTATAAGACGATGGTGAAGCGTTTCCGTCAGAGTAAGGCGGTGTGGCTGAGCTACGGGACCTTCCTGCTCCAGCAAGGTCAGAGTGACGCTGCCAGCGCTCTCCTGCAGAGGGCGCTGAAGAGTCTGCCCTCCAAAGAAAGTAAGAAACCCAAACATCAAAGGCGTAGTCACAAAACAGTTGGAGTTATACTTTTTGGCTGTACACCCACCCTTCAGATCTCATGTCAGAGGGCATTCGGTCTTTCTAATAATAAAAAAAAATGAACCCCCCTTACCATACGTGCTGTGTATATCCATAGGTTTGAACCTTTCCATATTCCTATTCCTCTCAGGTGTGGATGTGATCGCCAAGTTCGCTCAGCTCGAGTACCGTTATGGCGATTCGGAGAAAGGTCGCACCATGTTTGACAAAATCCTGACAAGCTACCCGAAACGCACCGACCTGTGGTCCGTCTTCATCGACCTCATGGTCAAACATGGGTCGCAGAAGGAAGTCAGGTGAGCGAAAGACCCTACTTTAATCTCTAACTCCTCATTGTCACTTCTAACACATTTTCAATCTCTAGACATTTTCTTTATATAAAGAGGGAAATGAAGTTGCTGAAGGATGCGGTGTCGTGTAAACTACAGGGTTTCTTAGGATGTTTTGAGGTGGAGTTAGTTACTCTTCCATGGTCAGTAAATTACCTACAGCAGATAGCCGTCAGCAGAACCCTAGTTTTGGAGACGTAGTACTGGCACGGAAGCAAAGTAATGTACTACTTTGGACAGGTACATCAGACAAACATACTGGCAGAAAGTGCATTTGCCTGGTCTTCAATAACACATTTAACAAACCAAACAGTGAAACACCACTAACTTCTATCTTCTGCAAGGTAAAAGGACTGTTTTTGTCAATGGAGTCTGGTAGCTACAAAAAGAGAACAAATTACAGCTTCAGTTCCCTCCTAGAAATAGCTGTACATTTTAAATATAGCACAGAAGTACATTGCTTATCCCCCATGCCAGTACCTCGGACTGTTACTCCAAACTGGGCACATCTACTGTAGGTACCTCATACTAATTGTTTTTTAAATTATCCCTTTAATGGTTTACATGAGAAAATCGGACATCCGGTTAAGTGATTAAGACCAGTTTTATGACCAATCATAATGAATTCTTCATGATGTTTTCCAACTTCCTGTCTCCTGCAGGGCGCTCTTTGATCGAGTGATCCACTTAAGCGTTTCAGTGAAAAAGATCAAGTTCTTCTTCAAGCGCTACTTGGAGTACGAGAAGAAGCTCGGCACCCCGCAGAGCATCCAGGCTGTCAAAGAGAAGGCCATGGAGTTTGTGGAAGCTAAAGGCACAGAGGCTGCCAACTAATGACCAAACCGCACACACCTTTGTGTTTCGGTGTGGACTGCAGCGATCTGAGCCTCACACATGTTTGGAAACAAGTGTGTGGCTCCCTGCTAAAGATTATGAACTCCTCAGCTTGTAACCTAGGTTTTTTTATTGTACTGGAGACTAAAGGTCATAACTTTTGTAAAGTGAGTTGTAACCATCTATAAATGTCAAAACAAACTTGTATTTAACATTTCATTTTAGGCAATTTTGTGTGTAATGCTATGAAGAGAGAAATGAATGTCATGACTATTAATTACTGCATATTTGAATGGCTACCAAACCTTTTATGGGAGCATGTTTCTATAAAATGACAATGACGCTTCAATAAATCCAACACCAATACAATACATTACGTGACGTTTTATTTAAAAGCAACAAATACAAAATAACAATATATAGGGACATGTTTACATACAATACATACAGGCAAGACTAGTTTTCTATCAGTCTCTTTTTAAAAGGAAAAGGGCATGGGACATACTCTGTAACAATATTGTCTACTTTAAATTGCCATGGTTGTAATACCGCTGGTCTTAGTTTGAGACGGAGGTCGTGGCTCTACCTCTGACTGCGTTTCACCTACATTGGCAGTATTGAAGATGCATGTGTGGCACAGGGTTATAGGGTGACTTGACATGGGTTGTGCTGGCTGTATTGGTAACACCCCTGAGATATAAGAGGTATCCATACTGATCCTGTACTCTGAAGTCCCGCTCAATGCCTGAAGTGTTTGTCTCTGGCAGTGCTGCACTAGTCGTCCAATGACAGTGGCAATGATATCCTGCTCTCTAATGTGGCTCCTGTTTCCTGTCATGTTTTGTTTTGTTGGTGAACAGTGCAATATGGAAGTTGAACTAGGAGCTAATTTTTTTTATGAAAAGATCCTATTCATCCACTCACTCCCTGACTGATCTGACCAAGTCATTTTGGCGCTGTCAATATCCAATTCCCTTCAAGGCGTATTGCTCAAAGGTCAGCAGCAGGGCGGCCACTTTGGGATCATTATCAACATTTCCTGTGAGATGTCTTTAAGATGACCGCTGTCCATCATCCCTAGTGTATTTAATGTGTGTGTTTCCTGTAAGGGGAGTTCGGTTTCCTCTCACACAGCTCTTTCACACCTCCTCCGGATCCAGCGGACCCTCTGAACCCTGGGGAGCGTCTGTGTGGAGCCGGAGGATGGGTTTGTTGCACATGGGGCAGACGCTGCGGATCTCCAGCCACTTGAGCAGGCACCTGACAGGACAAAAAACAGTTTCTTAAAAAAAGGAACAATTGAATCTAGTTTAGGACAACACTATCACCGCTTAAGAATCCTTATTTGCTGAAATTAATTTATCAACAAAGATGTGTTTACTTATAAGTAACTAAGTTTTGTAAGGAAGCCCAATTCTGCCATTGTGATTGAAAAAAATCATGTTAATTATGAGAAGCTTTTCACAAACTAAATGCATGTTATATGTAATTTACTATACCTGAATAATAAGAAGCTTACAAGAAAATATATTAATTGGAGAAAGGCTGTCAATCATTTTGAGAAAGTTTGTCACAAAGACTTGCAAACATATTTTATCCCATAAGCATTACTTGTTTATTTACTTTTTTGCGGAAATGTACTTTTATATCTGTTCGACTTACTGAATAATGTAACAAAATATTTGTCTTCAACCTGACAAATCTTGGTGAAAACTGCATAGATATTTGACTTTTTTGAAGTGTTTGTTCAACTCAGCATTATGAAAGAGTATGTCATAGTTCAAAATATTTAATACCACTCAAGTGTGCAGGGCAAGCTGCCATATCTTGTTTGTTTATTCAGCATATATGGAAGCCCATTTAAGCCAGTGTGATGGAAAAAGAGATTATGCAAGTCATTATGTGAAACTCGAAAGTAATAAATCAGTATATACAAATATTGAAGTCGTAACTATATATTACAAAAAATTGCCTTTAAAAAAACCTTTAGAAGGCTTTCTTGTATAGGCCATATCATTTTGACATTCTTACTAAATTAACTTGAATTTCGAAAGAAAAATATAAATGTATATATTAAATATATAATACTAGATATTAGTAGTATATATATTTTTTTTAAACAAGTGCTAGTTTCCATGTTTAGTTTTTCTTTTACAAGCAGCATTGGGCCTCCATACCTGACAAATCCAAGGTGTAAACGTGGGCTAACTGTTTCTCCCTATCCAGTCCTAATGCTAAGCTAACCGTTGACCATTTTAACAAAAGCATCTTCTTCTCATCTTACTATTGCCCAGAAAGCGAATAAGCTTTCTATTTATACGTTCCATTGTAGTTAAACTCACTTCTTGTGAAATGCATGTGAGCATGGGCACACTCCCAGTTCATCTCTGGTCCTGAACTCTTCCAGACACACTGCACAGGTTTGCTGCAAGGACGGAAAAAACACCAAGGTTAGTTCAGCAATCTACATTTCATTACATTTATTGTGTTTTCCCCTAATCTGTATTCCACTGTGGGCCTGTATCTCACAACAGCCAATAACATTGCCATTTGTAAGTAAGGTACATTTCAGTAGTAAATCAATTTCATCTGACCTAGATTTTGAGCAAAGCACAAGTAAAAGCGCCTGTTTTTAATGCTTTTACCTTAACTATGTTCTCTATTAAAAGGGCTCATAAGACCTTGTACATAGGCAGAGGTTGGACAGTTAATTAAAAATGACGGCTGACCACCACTGCCTTGGAAAGGCAGCAAAGAAATTGCAAAAGCCATCTTTTGAGCAATCACAAGAGACAGAGTAGGGATCTTTTTATAATGCATATTGAATGAGTGCAGTTATTCCTGGAGTCCTAAATTCTGCTACAAGGAGAGAGCAGAGCAGGCCCTCTCACATTTTTTTTTTAAATGGCGGCATTTGAGTTACAAGATCTTTTGAGGACATCTTGAGTGTGTGCTGCATGTTAATCACATCTGAGAGGAGAAATTGATTTAGTTAACTAACCGAACCCTCCCAGCTCATGTGTCATCTGAGCTGGAGTGCAAACAGTGTGGGGGTAACATTATGTGTACTGCTGCCAGGTCATAACATATACATTAAGCACAAGTGATGTGTATGAGCTTTTGTTTGCAGAAAGAATGACTTACTCCGAGAAGGCTCAGTTTCTTGCTGGCTCCCTTCAGCACCACCTATGGTTAGAAATATGAAAAGGACTGAAGTATTGTGTCATGTGAAGGATGTGTCAGCACTATTATTCTTGCAGAAAATCGATGGTGTAAAACAAACACTTCAGATGGCTTCAATAATCTGCCTGTGACGGGCTTGCAAAGTATCAGCAGGAGTGGTTTGTACTCTTGTTTGTGATATTTGTATCTTTCATATAAAAAAAAATATCATAATGAATACATAATACAGATGGCTGGAGTTGAACCTTCAATGAGGCTGAAAATATTTTCATCAACTGTCACCCCGCTACATTGTGACACCCTGTTCCCAGATCACCATATCAGGCCTTTTCACACTGCAGCTGGATGAACAGCTTTGAATCAGAGGGCAGGTAAGGACACTCGATGAAGACAAGGTCATCTATAAAGGGTGGTGTTATGTTTCACAGTTGACAATAATGGTGTGAAATGCTATAGTAGTATTTATAACCAGCCTCAGAAGCGGGTGTTACATGTTCAACCATAGTGACATATGCTGCAGGGACATACCTCATTGTAGCTGAACTGCTCCCTTGTTCCTTGTTGTTTCAACCTGAGAGTGGCAGAGAGAGAACAACATCTGTACGGTAGAAAAGATTGGCGTAATAACTGTAACTTAATTCAGTGGTTCACAACCTGGGGGCTGGGGCCCTAACTCCATAGTGATCTATTTTGTTTACCACTCAGATACTAAACCCTCAGTAGCCAAGCCAGTTTTCCATCCAAATCTACCCTTCATTTGTACCCCATTTTGAGGTAATCAACAATGAAAATCACTGATTCACTTGACTACAGACATGCAACCGGTGACTAGGGGTCATAAGATGATATCCTTTTATATATGGGGGTTTCAGGGCAAACTGACTTAAAGGAACTCATAAAATACATCAAACCTCAGTATATTGTCATATCAACAAGCAATTTAGTATAATCTAATAACTTTGGATGAATCGGCACTATAGCCTAGGCCTACACATTTTAAGAAACTGTCTTAACTCAATTGATACATAACATTTTTGATCATATAATTTTATACAATACTATTTAAAAACTGATAATGATTTATTGGTTGTATCATTGTGTCATTTATAATAACTGCACAACATGTGCAAGTTTTGAGTCCTTTATGTGGTATTCGCATCTGCCACATGGGGGTAGCGCAAACAGTTTTAAAATACAACATTGAGGTTATACCACTTGATGAAAGGCGAACATTTTTGTAAACAGTTACTTATTTGCACTTACAGCTGAAGTAAGGCCAAACTAGAATTGATTTGGATTTGTGTTTGTGCGGACCTGATAAATGTAAGTCAAACATTGACTCGTCTTGTAGTTGTTTTGGCTGTAGCTAGCTGGTGAGCTAGTTTGTTGCTAACTATTGTCTGCTTTTTGGTGCTTGGCAGGTAGCTTTTTGTGAGTTTTACAACCTTTTAATGAAAACAGGCCGATTTATCAGTCTCAATCTCTATTACTTGGCGATTTTTAATTAATAGCCTTACTTTTGTTGTATGTTTTAAGATGTAAACATTATCATAGCACAGGGACAGATTGAATTAAGCTGGTACAAAGCATTGTTTCTTTTTTTAATTTATATTTTTTGACATGGTCCCCGATATAAATGTAGTGAACAAACTATAAATAATGAAGTCATTTTTGTATTTGTTTTCTAATCAAACAATTATAAACCATATTTAGCATGTTTGACAGCTCTGCAGGGCAACACTCCATACATTTGCATCATGATAGCTGCTATCATCACACATTAAGATGGTATTCCCAAGATGGTTTTTCATTAACATTTAACCTGCTGTAGCACAAACCAGGTTGCACTCTTGCTGTACCCAATGACACCACTTTACTTTTTGTACTTTCTGTTTTTCCCCACATTTCTCATGTAGCTACCTTTCTCACTTTCTCCCCAGATTTTCACAGTCACCCTGTCAACATTCCTCCCAAACCTACCTGAAAAGGTAGCAGCAGAAGATGAGGCTCAGCATAAAGACAAAAAGGCCGATGCCCAGCACAATGACGTATACATTGAGCGGGAGGTGATAGATGTCAGACGTCATGCTGCAGTAGTGTTCAGAGCGCTGAGAACCCAAACCACACAGGCATCCTGGCAGGAAGAGTTTACAGATACAGATTACATACTGGTAACTCTTAACTTGTAGGGTCAAAGTTTAGTTCAATACATATTCTTTCTCTTTAAAACCCAATATTGTTAAATGTAGAGAAGCAGTCATGATGTGGGACGAAGTCTAGTTTTCTGTATTTTCAGCTATTTTTACAAACTCAATCTTTTAAACTGAATTTTACTTCAGGAAATAGAGAGCTACTGAGAAAACTGTCTGGCAACCTAATTGTTTCCTGTCAAACACCAAAGCACCCTAAGATAACAGTATCCAGTCCAGCATTACAGTGCAGGCTTAAATTGGCAACCTAGACTTTGCAATTTGAACAGCCAATCGTTATGAGCAGTTGAGTTAAGAAAATCTATATTATTTACAAGCAGTAAAAAAATCTAAATTGTTTGGTGATGAGAAACAAATGGAATCCTGGAAGGGCAGCAGGACATTGTTGATTTTGGTATTTGTTGCAAAACTTAAACCATACGTGACTGGTCTTTTTTTAATACAATTATTTTGGTGTTTGTTTTGGATGCAGGTGTGTCAAGGGAGCTTGTGACTGGCACTGTGGTGGAAACTGAGACGATCACTGGACTGCACGTTAATTGTCTGTGAACAAGACAAACATGGAGGAGAGACACCACTTCCGCCACACCGCCATCTGTTCCACAGACTCTATAGGGGTGTGTGTGCGTGTGTGTGTGTGTGTGTGTGTGTGTGTGTGTGTGTGTGTGTGTGTGTGTGTGTGTGTGTGTGTGTGTGTGTGTGTGTGTGTGTGTGTGTGTGTGTGTGTGTGTGTGTGTGTGTGTGTGAGACAGCACTGGGGGATGGAGGATAGGGATGTGTGCTGTCTGAAATGTGTGTGTTGCAGGTGGTAGGGGTTGGGGGGTATTAAACAGATTAAACTCCAGGGACTAAAGGACCATTTGGTAAAACAATAGCGGAGGAAGCCCCACTTCCACAGGCCACATGTGTTCCTATTCATTTGCAGCGAGGATGTTCTTTGCCAGCCTCGAAGTCCATGTGTCTCTCTTTAGAGGGAATGAATGGGTACAGCTTGCACATCGTGGGGGGTATGGGGTGGATAATTTGACATGGCTGGGTGGTTGGGGGATTTACAGGGGAAGAGGGGGGTTTATTGTAGGGAAGACCTAGGATAGCATAATGAGAGATACAATTATGAACATCCTGGATGCACTTCGGAATCAGTGGACAGTAACAAAACAAGAGTTTATAAAAAAGTTAGGGAATAAAAAAAGAAAGACCAGGACAGCACTCCATTTTGTCTAGTTAATATTGCCACATGTACGTTTCGTAGGATTGAAAATGACCAGAATACACGCTGAAAAGGGCCTTTAATGTCTATAAATAATCATTATAAATAGTCAAAGTGGAGTGCTGTCATAGTCCTCCTTTTTTCTTCTACATTAAAGATCCAGCAGCCAGTCTTCAAGGTCCAATTGTGGTTTGAGTACGTTTTGTCTTCTTCTTAGGGAATTTAGAGGATAAATATCTTCAGTTTCGGTTGTCAAACAAACATGACCTTGAGTTATTTTTATATTTGATCTGCATTCTCTCAGAAATGTTCCCTTTCACAAGTACACCCATTACATGGATCCCATAAGCTGAGCAGAAAGCTGAGTAACTGACTCTACGAGATATACAAGTTAGGACACGCACCACCACCTCTTGTGTATTTGGCAGACAGCAGAGAAATCCACTCACTTACCGTTACACCATTGGAATGGTTGCATGAAATTTGACTCCCAGGGTAGCAGCAGTAAATGCAGGCCCTGTCAGGAGAAGGCTGGAGGGTAGCCAAGCTCGTGGGCTGGAGCTCCGGAAACTGGATCTGTTTGGAGCCTAATATTCAGTCCTTTTGTTGGCTTGTGTCAGACTCCTCTGAAAAAACAACCATCAAGATTTTTCAGATTTACTCAGATTCCACAAATCCTCAGGGAGGTGCAGTTTTGTTGGCTCAGCAGTCTGTGCTGCCCAGCATTCCCCAAATCTGGATTAACCACTCCGTGTAAAGACTGGGAGATTTGGTACTGGGATTTGGACCGCGACTGGAGACCTCATGTGCTCCTGGATCCCAGCGAGGATGATGTCATTACATGGGGGAGAAGGAGAAACAAAGAAATGTTGTTGATTGTTTTTGCAGATACCTCATACTATGTGTTATTCACGAGTTGTTATGTTGGAAAGCTGAATCTCACTCAGACACAATGTCATAAATAAACCACACAGGCTGCTCAGAAACAGGAAATACTTACATTTTCAGTAGAAATGGGCCTCTTAGACTTCTCTTTTGCATCTGCAGTGTCGTCCCCTGGCCAGATTCAATGACACCCACCGTTTAAAATGACAGTCCTCGTCCAATGAAGGTAATTATCTGGCATTAGTCTACGCTTTGTCTTCCTCCCCAAAGCTGCTTTTTTAACCGAGGATTTTCACAAGTCTCAACCCCCTCTCCTCTGTTGTCTCCTCCTCCAGTCCTCTGATCTTGCAGTGGGTATTCCTCCTCAGTGTAGATGTGCTCCCTTCAAAGCCCAAACAAAGTGAGCACAGCTCCATGCAGTCAACAACAGTCCTCTTGCTGGGTTTGGTGTTTTGCTGGTGTTTGTGTGTCAGTTAGTGTGTGTGTGCAGGGTGGGGTGGGGGGGATCCTACTCTCCCTCTAACCATCTGCTCCTTCAATTGAGGAAAAAAAACAAAGGCGCAGTGTGTGCAGGAGTGTGTCTGCGTGTGTCGTGTTCAGACTCTCCAAACCTCCAGCTGGCTTTGTCATGGCAGGCTTCCCCTCTTCCTCTTTTCAATCCAGGATGATGCTCAGAGAGAGAGAGATTGACAGAGAGACTGCAAATTGCCTTTCCCTTCCTCCCCTTGCTCCTGCTCTGCTCTGCCTTGGGTTTGTAAACAGATCTGTGCTCATGTGACCAGCCGTTTTGCCTCGCAACTCTCCTCTCCCTCAGCCCTCCCTCGCTCCCTCTGTCCTCCAATCTGCAGGCAGAAGGAAGGCAGAATGAGCCCGACACTGACGAATAGGGCGCCTGCAAGCATGCTGCTGTGTGTGTGTCTGTGTGCGCACACAGCCGTGTGTGTGAGAGCGAGGGAAGAGAGAGAGACGTTTGCAGCAATGTGGAGGGAGGCCCCGGTCAGCAGCATGCCCATGGCAGATGTCCTGACAACCATAACAAAGCCATTTGTGTGTGGAGTGGGGGTCAGCAAAAGAAGCAGAAGACGCAACCTCATTCACTATTTCCTTCCTTCACTTGTACACACGGTTGTATTTTTGGAGCAGATTGTTATTCATGTTTGCTTGGTTTGATCTATATATAAACATCTTGTCACTCTTTTGCAAAGGGAGAAGGAGGAAGGGAAGATGGGGAGGAGGAATCTGTGGATAGAGGGAACAAAGTAGGAAGTAAGGAAATATTAGAGAAGGAAAAATGGTAGACACAGAGAGAAAAAAGTCACAGTCTGGACAAAGACGTCCATCCACCCCCACACCAGCGGCCTTGGCTGGGGGAAGAACAGCTGTTGGGCGAGTTGTGAGACGGTCAAGGGGAGTGCTACTTCACCAATCCCCAGGGGGGGAGGAAGGGAGGATTCGATGAGATCCATGCCATTTTCATTCCCCCTCCCCTCCTCCCCCTCCTTGGCTAGTAATGACATTACTGCTGAATACAGGAACAGCTGGATTGAGTGCACAGATGCATGAGCATATAAACACTGTTCCTGTACAAAGCATGCACTGTTGGGTGTTTACAGGTTTCAGAATCCGATGGGATGTGTGTTGTTGGAGCTGCAGGGTTGGTTCTCATTGTTGGCTTGTGGAGGATGGTGGTTTTGTTAACAGCACGCCCTCTTGTGAAATATGATGAAACACATTATTGTCAACAACAGCTTCCTGAAGATATACAGATTGTGAGAACAGTGGCTAGGGTTAGGGTTAGGGTTCTTTTTACCCCACTACATGTATTTGATAACTTAACTTACTTTGCAGATTCAGGCTCTTAAAGAGGCCCTATTATGCTGTTTGGGTTTACCCCTCACTGTAGTGTGTTATAGTTTTTGTTCATGTAAATGTTCTGCTAAGGCTAAAATCCCAAAGTTTCCTCCAGAGGGAGTTTCTCTCCACCACAAAAATCACAATCCAGTGATAATAAATATTATTCTAAAATATGTCATCCTGCTAAATTTCTATTTTATCTTAAGTACTCATGCTAGTACTTTTGGTCTTCATCATGAGTTAGATTCGAATGGATTTTTGCTTGTAAAAAAGTAATTTTTACATAGCAGTATTGCTATTTTTACTTCAATAAAAGATCTGAATATTATATATTACCACTGTAGGGAAACACCATGTTATATACAGTTTACTAGAGCTGGGCACGACAAAATGAGGGAGCAAGAGAGATGCAAATGTTGGCCTTGTTTTCTTAGTGACATGTAAATTATTTTGGCTGTCCCAACCTTTTTTTGTTTTGCATAAATCATAGCTTTGCCAAATTGGAAATACAGCAGCATTGTAGGTTTATGTTGAATAACAAGGTTAGAGGCTAGAGATTTGCCTCAAGGCCTAATAAATGATATAACATATATGTTCTAATTAAAAAGTTGTTGATTCTAGTGATTCAATTCAGTTCTTGTGATTATTAAATTTAGGCTAAATAACTCTAAGTCTTGCTTGGGTGGCCTCAAGTGGCAGTTACTGGGTAATAGAAAAGGATAACATGTAGTATTGTGATCTGTTTACACCAAATGCAACATTATTTTTTAGTGTTGATATAGCATCTACAATGTTAGCATAGCCCTGACCGACCCAAACTCCATACAGAATACTAGCATTTTCAATGTTAGTTGTTAGTTGTAGTTTTTGTAAGGGGCCCAGTTTATTTCAGTCTTTTGAAAATAAACACAAATGATTAATGGTCAAACTAACCAAAAATGTGCAAACTGGAATCTAATTAAGTAATGTTGGTTGAACAGCAATATCAAGCTAGTTAGCTTTAGCTACCATATGCTATTAGTCTTCCCAGACAAAGCAAGTCTGTAGCAGCAAAACATATGAGTGTATTGCATTTAGAAAGAGTGTTTTCTTGGTATGAATTCATCTTTTTATTTCTAGGAGACAGATTGTGTTATTACTTATTTCTTTCTTCACAGGGTCCCTTTTTATAATGCAAGGAGCAGCAGAGTCTGGACGTCCACACACCACTTTTCCTTGCCCTGGAGATATTTTTAGTGGCTTGCACTTGAGAGCAACACAAACATTAACTAGCGTTGTCAATCAACACAACTGTGTTGTTATAATGTTTTACTACCAGCCTGACACAGCAGTTCGGCAGGCTACACTTTACAGACTTCAGATTTTTGCCAAGCCCTGTCCCACAGAGAGCCGCGGCACATTGTTTTACAGTAATTCATCACTTTTAGCTAAAATAAATTTGATATAAGGGAAAAAGACAAAAAAAAACAGGTGGGCGGTTATACACCCAGCACTAGACATCTTTTTAAGTTGGCTGAAATTAATGTGAACAAGAAATATGTTGACAGTCATATTACATTAATGCCATCAAAATATATATCGCAATTAATTTGTATATTCTAACTCACTTTGACAAATTACTAATACTAGCTAATAGAAACAAAAATAATTCTGAAAGTCAAATACGAGCCAATGTAAGCTTTTCTTATCCTCTTGAACGTTTCAGACCTTACTGTAATAAACCGCCCATTCCTTTTTCGCCACTTCATGGTTGTGTCCATTTACTAATCCATTGGCAGCTCCCTTGGCGTTCCCATTCAGTTTGCCATTGTTTTCACCCTCCATTTGTTCCTTTCTCAGAGCCAGAGCTGGCTTACAGGTGTGCCAGTTCCATAAAACCTTATTCATGTCATCCTGCGCTCTGATACCCATAAGTTTTTCTTCGTCACTCCTCTTATCCTCCTCTCCGTCGTCGCTGTCGTCCTTGCCGGTGGTGCGATGGTGGTGGAGGGTTTGCATCTCCCCGCTGATGTTCTCAAAGTACTGGTGAATGCAAACCTTGGCGAAACTCTTGGCGTGGTCCTTGCAAGCCTCGTCAAACATCTTGCGCTCAACGTCGATGTAATGGGACCAGTACTTGGTCTTGAGGAAGGTAGCTTGAGAAAAGCATGGACGAATAGCTCGGATCAGGAAGGCCGATAAGGTCATCATTAGCAGAAACATCCATCCACATGCCTGTAAAAAATAGATACTATCAAATGTTTTGGTGTGCCAAAATTACCCCAATTCTGAGCACTCATTAATGATAATAAGGTGTACGAAAGTAGATAAAAGAAAGATGGCCTTTGATTAATATTGAGTTGTGTTTGTCTTCTTGCAGATACTGAAGTGAAATTGTCCTATATGTGACCAAAAAAGCATCTCACTGAGCTTCCTGACAGTTCCATAGCTCATTAACAGAATATGTATATCAATAGACTTTTCAAAGACATCTTACTTTTAAGCCTGTATAATATGGCCTGCGGCTGATCAAAGACTTAAAGAACAGAGTGGGTGTTTTTTGGATGGATTGAAATAGGTCCCAGTGCCATGAATAATACATTTAGAGGCTTATCTATCACTCTAATAAGTGAAGAGGAAAGCTTCAGTGAACTCAAAGTGCAAGTCTGGTGCAGATTTAGGTTAACTACAGTTTTTGAGGAATGGAGCAAAGAAAATGTAAGATGCTTCGTCATCATATGCTGTGTTAAAAAAACGAATAGCTTAAAGTCTCCCATCTGTTGGAGACACTAACTATAAATCAACTGATTAATCAGACTATTTACTTTATTATGTTCTATTCATCTTTACATTATTAGTTGTATTTACACTTGTGCCTTTTATAGACAAGAATCATGTGCTCAATAATTAATTCTGTTGATTTACAAAGTAACAAAATAGAAAAACTGTTTGATTATTGTTATTTTCAAAGGAGAGGGTAGCTATGGTACAGTAGCCCTGAGAGGCAAGCAAGACAGAAATCAGGTGGTCAATGTTCACATTTTGTTAAAACAAATATTTTGAAACAAGCTGACAGAGTATTGCACCAT